CCCTGCTGAGCAGGGAGCCCGATGTGGGACTGGATCCCGGGACTCCAGGATCATGACCTGAGCCAAAGGCAGTCGCTTAACCAACTGAGCCACCCAGGCACCCTTTTTTTTTTTTCTTAACATATATTGCATTATTTGTTTCAGAGGTACAGATCTGAGATTCAACAGTCTTGCACAAGCTGAGGACATTATTTTATGCAGTAAACTAAAAACAAGATACAAATATGATGCATGTTACTGTACGAAGTGTCAGACATTTTACACACCATTGACATAACACATCACCCTCTCACCTAAAGCATCTGTGGGGAAGGTGAAGGAGGATAGTAGGTGGATCCAGTGACTAATTGTCATTCCAAATTCTGACTCCATTTGGGGCCTCTAGAGGTGATAGAAACACACTAGGGATAAGGCACCAAAAAATAAAATAAAATAAAGGTATAATGTTTCAGAGGTTTATCAGAATGGAAATCTGTAGCTTGTACATAGAATTCTAAGAGTAAAAATTTAAATTCTGAAGAAGTCATATATAATGCACTTTTAAATATATATCATACATATAAGAAGTCATATATAATCTACTATCTCTGAAAGATAGTAAAAAAAAAAAAAATGAAAGTTCAGTCTGGCCTAGTTTATTCCTGAGTTTAAAGCCAGATAAAATCCTGGGTCAAAAAAAGAAGGGTTTTGCTCATATTTACTTTACATGAATACAGTAGAAAGCATCTGGTTTTTAAAAAGTATCAAAATGGCACATCTTAGAATATGTATTAAGGAAACTCATACATCCTTCATCAGTTATTGTGTTGAATAGTGGTCTCTATTTATTCTTTAAAAGAGTTGTTTAGAAATAATCAATTCTAATACCAAAACCATGAAAAGGAAATCCTGAAGGAGGATCCTAAAACCTGACTATCCATTTTCATATTCTTAGTGGTCGATGTACAGAAATGGTAAAGGTTTGGGTGTGAGTTGCTTTTTAAGTAGCATCCAGACTGCGTCCGTTCTAATTGGCTGCAAAGTACAGGATGTTAAAGGCATAAAGGTGGCCTTTTTCCATTTTAACAGCAGTAGCTACTTCCAGTCATAGTAATAGGCTGTGTGTTAAAATGTATTGGGTAGTTCAGCAGTTAGATTGGATGGATTCCAGGACTGGTCTGGTGGGTTACCTCATGTGGTCCGCAGCCCTGACAGGACTGCCGAACAGAGACCTAAGCCCTGGTGGGGCTTCAGGGGTGGTCCAGGCTCCCTAAGAACCCTAGAACCACAGAAGGTATGGCTGAGTCTGTGTTCCAGTGAGTCACGCTTGCTCTCTGTCCCAGTCATCTGTTGCTGCATAACGAACAACCTGAAACTTAGTGGCTTAAACCAACAGTTTTGTTCTGTGGGTAACCTGGGAGGCGTCTCATGCAGTGGCAGTCCGATGGTAGCAGGGCGTGGAATCATCTGAAGGCTTCTTTTCCATGTCCAGTGACTGCGTTTGGATGGCTTGGAAGCTGGGAACTGGTCAGGCATCTCTGTTCTCCATGTGGCTTCTGGAGCTTCCTCACAGTAGGGTGGTCTGAGGAGAGTCAGACTTTGGTATGGGGGCAAGCTTCCTTCACAGCAGACGTGGGCAGGACCGGAAGTGGAAGCTGCCAGCCTCAAGACCAAGACCCCGAAGCCGGCACAGCGTCACTTCCACTATTGGATAAAGCGATCAGAGCTGCCCACATGCAAGAGGAGGAGGCATAACCCTTAGGTCCTGAGGGTCAGGTGCCCAAGAATTTGTGGCCACCATTAATCCTCCACAGTCTCCAACCAGCACCCAAAGGGTTTGTTCATAGTTGTACCTTCTCCCAGTCTGGCCTCATAAGGAGCTGCTTTGCATTCATGTAGCTCTTTGTGCATTAACAAGAAAGTTCGTGTACGCTCACTCCGTTTGTCCTCCCGACATCTCTGTGGGATCGCAGTTGGGGTAGGAAGGCAACTGAGGCACAGAGTTAAAAGCCTAGGATCAGGGGCGCCTGGGTGGCTCAGTCGTTAAGCGTCTGCCTTCGGCTCAGGTCATGGTCCCAGGGTCCTGGGATCGAGCCCCGCATCGGGCTCCCCGCTCAGCGGGAAGCCTGCCTCTCCCCCCTCCACTCCCCCTGCCTGTGCTCCTCTCTCAATGTGTCTCTCTCTATCAAATAAATAAATAAAATCTTTAAAAAAAAAAAAAAAGCCTAGGATCACACAACTTCCCAGGGACAGAACTGAGACACAGATCTGAATCTCTCGACTCTCAGTCCATGCTGAGGGATTCTGGTTTATTTGTTTGTTTGTTCAGTCTGCTCTCTGACACATCTAGAGCTGCAGGAGCAGAAAACACATTTCCCTTTGGTTGAACATTTGGCCGCAGATCTTTGCAGGTCAAGCTCAGGGTGCAAACAAAGGAAACGTTAACGCGCCTGCTCAGCCCTGTGCCATCAGTAAGGACTCTGGAAGCCGGTGTACCGGCCTTCACTCTTGGGAAACTCCCTCCGGATCCTCCAGCGGCAGCAGCTGGGCAGGATGGCAAAGTCGGCGAGGTCCTGGGAGCCGAAGCGCCAGGTGGCGTAGCACCTGTAGGCGCAGTGCCGCAGCCGGCTGTTAGAGTTTTCATCCAGCTCCAGCAAGGGCTCCTGGTAGAGCAGGAGGAACTGCAGGAGCTGTCGGGACAAGACGAGCTTCCTGAAGGGCTCTGAGGTGGTGATGCAGGCACCCGCCTTTTTCCGACAGCACAGTTCTTCCAGGCATCTGTGGCTCTCGGGGAGCTGGGACGGGAGGCAGTGTCCACACTGGCACCAGTCTGGGCTGTTGCTGGATCTGGGAGCCGCTTCGTCACTTAACAGCTGGATCTCCTCTGCTTGTCCAGGAATAGGGGATGGGTCAAGGAGAGACGGGGGCAGCCTGGACAAGTCCATTGAGGGTCTCTGAAAAAGTCAAGTTACCAAACCCATCAGCAGTGACAACCCCTAGGGTTCTAGGTCCTTTATTTCTGTCATTAACTTATAAAATTACACTTACTATCACATTAATACCAGTAGCTATCATTTATTAAATGTATATATCAAGACTATCCCAGTGTTTTATAAACTTGCCCCGTTTAGCCTTTGAAGAACCTCATGAGGTATGTGTCCTTCTCTCCATTTCATAGAGTTAGGAAGTGAAATTCAGATAAGCCAGGCCTCAAGGCAGGTATCTCCTGTTCATGGAGACCTTCTTGCCCTGACCCTTCCCCCCACCCCATCTAGGTAGTTCCACCCCCACCCAGGTCACTCTCTTAGTGCATCATGAGATGCCGTGTTCTTCAGAGTACTATCACTATCTGAAGTGATCCTACTCATTGATATGTCCTCTGGATGGTTCTTCTTCCACATGAAAGTGGGGGGGCCCTGTCTGCTTTGTTACTGCTGTATCCCCAATGCCTAGGATAGTACCCAGCACATAGTAGACAGTAAATCTTTGTTGATTTTGCTCTACTCTCTCCTTTTCCACCAGCCTCCCTCTTCCAGCAAATTCATTTGTTATCCTCCAAGAGGAGTTGCCATAATTGACATCATTTATATCTGTTCTTTGTAACATATACCTTCATTCACCGGACAAAGTTTGAGTCAGTACATTAAAATTAAATACTTCCTATACATGAGCACTTACAGCAGCACTATTAACAATAGCCAAAGGGTAAAAACAACCCAAATATCCATCAACGGATGAATGGATAAAAATGTTATGTCCAGGGGCGCCTGGGTGGCTCAGTCGTTAAGCGTCTGCCTTCGGCTCAGGTCATGATCCCAGGGTCTTGGGATTGAGCTCCGCATCGGGCTCCCTGTTCCGCGGGAAGCCTGCTTCTCCCTCTCCCTCTGCTGCTCTCCCTGCTCATTCTCTCACTCTCTCTCAAAAAAAAAAAAAAAAAAAAAAAATGGTTTCCAGGGATTAGGGGGAAGTGGGTGTGAGGAGTGGCTGCTGAATGGATGCAGGGTTTCCTTTTGGGTTGATGAAAAAGTTCTGGAACTAGATAGTGTGATGGTGGCACAGCATTGTGGATGAGATTTTGAATTTTAAATGTCACTGAATTGTACACTTTACAGTGGTTAAAATGGTAAATTTTATGTGTATTCCCCTCCCCACCCCTCAGGTCATGTTATACCCAAACCTGATAAGGACATTACAAGAATGGAAAAACTTTGGCCAGTCTCTCTCAATAAGAGACATAAAAATCTTAAATATTAGTGAATCGAATCCAGCGATAAATACAAAGAGTAATTTATTACCTTCAAATTGATTTTATTGTAGGAATGCAAGTTTGGCTTAACATTTGAAAATCAATTTCTGTAATTCACCACATAACAGAAAAAAGAAAATTCATTGATCATTTTTTAAAAAGCAGAAAAAAGCATTATTTTAAAAATTCAGTATTAATTTATGATAAAAATTCTTAGCAAACTAAGAACGGAGGAGACTTTTCTTAATCCAGTAAAGCATTCTTTAAAGCCCTACAGCAAATAATATAGTGAAATATGAAAAGCTTTCTTCCTGAGATAGGGAATGAGACAAAAAGATGTTTGCTATTAACCACTTCTAATCAGCATTGTACCAGGGGTTCTAGCAGGTGTAATGAACACCAGGAGCTGGAAGAGGCAAAGAAGGATCCTCCCTTAGGGCCTTCAGAAGCCCTACCAACACCTTGATTTCAGACTGCCAGCCTCCAGAATTGTGAGAGAATGAATTTCTGTTGTTTTCGGCTACTTAGTTTGTGGTGATTTATTATGGCAGCTGTAGAAGTCAGTTAGTGAAGATGTCCAGTGATCAGAGCTGCTGAGGAGAGCAGGAATTAGAACACCCCCTTTAGAGAATGGTTTGATAGTATCATATGCCAGCCTTCTGACCTCAGCAGGTCCACTTGTAGGCACCACATGTTTACCATGGCAGCATTTCTGCATGAGCTCCAAAGTGGAAACTACCCAAATGTCCACCAGCAATAGAAGGGATAAATAAATTGGTTGTTTGTAAAATGGAAATTATACAACAATGAGAATGAACTATTGCTCTATGCCATGTCATGGATGACTCGCAAAAACATACTGAGTGAAAGAAGTCTGACACTCCACAGAGTATATACTGAGTACATACAGGATTCAAATTTTATAAAATCCTGGAAGAGATAAAACTAACCTTTGGGTACAGAATAACGATGACGTTTAAGGGAAGGTAGTGATTGGGTGGAGGCGTGAAAAGGGCTTCTGCTAATATTCTGAGTTACATGTACTTACTGTGTTAAAATTCATCAATTGCGATTTCCACAAATTTATAGCTATATTTTTATTTATTTATTGTAAAGATTTTATTTATTCATCTGAGAGAGAGAGAGAGAGAGTGCATGAGCGGGCTAAGGAGCAGGGGGAGAGGGAGAAGCAGGCTCCCCGCTGAGCAGGGAGCCCACGTGGGGGCTCTATATTGGGCTTGATCTCAGGACCCTGGGATCATGACCTGAGCCAAAGGCAGATGCTTAACTGACTGAGCCACCCAGGTGCCCTGCTATATTTTTATTTAATAGTAACTTTTCTTAAAAAAAAAAAAAAAAGACTAAATGTTTTAACTTACTGGGACTTTTTCACCTTCGACATTTTGCAGACTTTTTCCGAGTAATGGCTGGTCCACCATCCTAATATGGGATTCATCCACAAAGGACACATATTTTAATGTCTAGGAAAAGAGGGTTAAAAATTTTACCCATTTTTGTACAGAATTATCAACAATCACATCCTGAACATATCTAAAGGCAAGTGTTATTCCTATTTACCAAATGACAAACTGTTAGAAGCTGACCAAAAACTCTTGCTAGCCAAGAATGAATGATTTCTGAGTCCAAAGGTAAATCAGCAGTGAGACCCTATGCACCTTAATATGTGGACTTCAGAGTCTCCACAGCTTACTGCCTGATGACTTTAGGTCTCCCACGTGCTCTGTAAAAGTCCTTTTGTGTTCCCTCAATTTCAGTTACTCTAGATTGAATATCCCGAAAATTTTACTGTTGCAACTTAAATTATTTATATTTTTGCTGACTTTCATCCTATCTTGAGCTATGAAATGGTAATTATTTTTAGTTGCAAAAATGAACTTTCATTTCAAATTGTATAATACATGTACAGCGGCCCGTGAATCGTGTCTTCAGCTGCTGGGAAAGGACAGTAATGTTCTTATGAGGGAAAGACAAAGACCCTCTTTGTTGTTTGAAGTACTAGAGGTTTCTCCTTGATTGGGGGAAATCATGGAATCAAGTGTAGGGGACCTGCTTAGTAGAAGCCTAATTAAACAAATCAAAACAATACAGATGAGCTCAAATTCCGTTTGACTCGTCCCCCATCCTAGGTTCCTTTGTAGAAGGAATCACTGTTGTCACTTTTGTGTGTACCTTTTTGTATACATATATTATCCTCCCTATACACCTTCATGCATGTGTATAATAAATGTAGAAACTATATAGAGCATATATAAAATATATAGAATGTATGCATGTTATTTGTATGATTATATATAAGCACATGTATAATATACATGTAGAAAATACATGGGATGAGTTCATATCATATGTGTAGTTGTCTTTTATCATATCATGGTATATATCATACTGTATATATTGTCCTATAGTTTGTTTTTTTTTTCCTTTCAACAACATGTTTTGGATATTTGCTCATGCCAGTACCTATAACATAGTGGTTATGAAGATGAATTCTGAAACCAGCCTGCCTGAGTTGGAATTCCAGCTCCCCCGCTACTAGCTGTATGACTTTTGGCAAATTATTTAACCCTCCTGCACCTCAATTTCCTCATCTTTAGAAAGATGACAGTAGCACCTATTTATAGGGTTGTGTGAAGATTCTATGAATTAATATATATAAAGCACTTTGAAGTTCTATAGAAATGTTTGCTCTTATTATTATCCACGTATTCTTTTAAACTGGTGCCTGGTGCTCTTTGCTATGGACTGGTCATAGTTTCTTTCACCATCCACCTGTTGGACATTTGGGTAGATGCTCTTTCTTGAGGGTAGGTATGGAGAAGTGGAAATGCCAGGCTGTGAAGTATGTCCCATCTAAATGTTATTAGATACTGCCAAATTGTTCTCCAGAGTCACTATACTATTTTTTTTGGCTGTACCAATTTAATAAATCTGACAAAACTGCCAAGTCCTAGAACATAAACATTTGTTCTCCCTCCATCTTGCCTCTTCATTTTTGTTTCTGTTCTTCCCTAAGACCAAAGGATTCATCTGAGAGATGGTGGATCAGGGTAGAGTCCAGAGACTTGTCCACTATGGGATTACACCTGTGATTTGGGCCTTATTTTTGCATGTTTCTCAGTGACCTGACCGACTCTCTGGGTATTTTGGCACCTACTGATGCAGTGAGCCTTACCGGCTTTGGCTCCACAATGGGCTCATACTTCTTCCTGTAGTAGTATTCATTGACTGCACAGTATCGACACCACTTGCAACAGGGATAAATGCGGGATCGACAGCATTTACTTGAGTAAGTGTTGATGAGGCAGTCGATGAACAGAGTGGCCTGGGGAAAACCCAGATTGGTGCCATGTTAGTGAGATTTCTTTTTGCCAAATCACTTTCCTAAAGTATGGGAAAGAGAATCCCTTACCAAACTAAAGTAGGAGATGCCTGAGCCAACGTACACGGCCAACTGGATAATGTTAAATTTTCCTCCCTGAAAACAAATGGGAAGGTGACTTGGTTGACATTCAGAGCAATGCTCTTTTGCTCTACCATGTAATTGTCAGCTCCAGCAGAGGAGGGAGTCTATGTTCATGGCAACAGAGACTGCAGACTGAAAATAGGATTCCTGTTCATCCTGTTCTTGCCTTCTGGGATGCGCTCGAAAACATGACTGTTTTAAACAAAGAAGCACTGGAACCCACACACTGAGTTTGTTGTTTTTCCATACAAGGTGAGAGCTTCAGACGTTTTCCCTAAAAGTGGTTTGAGATTACCTTGGAAGCAGAGGGAAGGAATGTCTGCACACTCTTCCCTTAGGTGTCCTCGTGGTTTTTCTTCTCAATGATCTTTCCATTCTCTCAGCTTCTATCCCATTGACTCTTGTGTTGCTTACCACCATATGACATAACATATAACATAAATAATACAGTTTTGGACAAGGCGTTGTGGGCATCTATGGAGTTTTGCATGCCCAGTGTCCCCTCCCTCCTTCTTATGGAGACAACACCCCGGTTTTCCTTTGGAGAACCATCTCTGTCCATACTTGGTCCATATAGTTTGAGGGGAAGGGGCTGGTTCAGGGCAGGTCCAAGACCAGCCACTGAGAGTATGGTGTGACCTAAACATAATGATTAGTTCAGCACAGGGCACGTGGCCCATATTGGGCCAGTCAGAGCCAAAGGCATCTGCCTGAATCCTTTGCTGAACCTTTTAGCAAAGAGAGATTCTCTTTTTATTGAGACTGCTGGACCGGTAAGATATAAGGAGCTGCCAGAAACCACCATGTAGACATGGCCAACTGAGGATGATGCCAAAACAGAGGAGAACAGATACAAGAAATGGAGGGAGGCAGATTCCTAAGGATGTTGTTTGAACATCTGGATCCAGCCATGCCTGAAGCCTGAAAACTGCCCCTGGATTTTTCAGCTATGTGAGATTTAAAAAAAAAAATTTTTTTTTTCCCTAAGCCAATTTGAGTTGGCTTCTGTTACTTACAAAGTATTTTGCAAAAAGGATTTCTTTCTTTCCCTCTCTCTTTTTAAGCATCAGAATATTTTTAAAGTTGAATATTCAGTTTTCTTCCCAATCCCACTCTTGTAGTGATCAGATGACTTCATCGTGGACAGGACCCCAAGGACATTCCTTCCACCTCTTATCCCACATGCAAGATGCACAGTGCCAGCTATTGACTATGACCGAAACATTCACCCCTTGAGGCACTACAGCAATAATTAGGACACAGTCACAGGAATGGAGGTGCCAGTGGCTGGGAGCAGAGACTTACGGTGCCAAAAACCAGAATGTCAAAACGGATCCCAAAGACTTTTATCAGAGTCCGTTTTTCAACGTTGTTTTCCTTATAGTACTTGGCGTATCTGTAGGAGGAGAAGGATCCATGTTTATAAAGATCTGTATGAACGTGCTGGTATTTCATGAAAGGAAAACCCAAAACAGGAGCCGAGCTAGTCTTCCTTGTTCATCTTCTAGCTCTGCTGCAGTTGGCAGAGGGAAGAACATAATCCAAACCCACAAATTACTCTCTTGGAACCAAAGCACCACTTCCCACGTTGCCTCCTCTTCTTCTACCATCACAGAGTGATACAAAATCTGCTTTCCATTTAAGATTAAAGTGAACAATTTTTAACTAATACAGTATTAACAACAAAAACTATTAACAAAAATAGTTTCAAGCAAATCCGATTATTTCTTAATGGAGTTTGGCTTCTAGAACAAAGTGGGGTGGGGATCCTAGACACTAATGGCTGGATTGGGGCTAGGTGCCCCTCAAGCAATCTGTTCTAATTGCATTTTCTTAGATTCTGTATTTGTCTATTTGCATCTGTTATCACAGGGCCAAACCAACAGCCACCATTGTTTACATCTTACCTGTGATCCAGCTTTTGCAAGTGCCTGAAAATCATGTTACAGACCCTCTGACCAATCTTGAATCCATATCCCCAACCACCCCCTCTCACTCACCCTAACACACGAGCCAATATTCCCCCTGCGCCAGGTCCCCCAGGGCCAAAGTCACCCAGGGCCAGATACCCACAGCTAGAGAATGCACCTGTAACCCAGAGCCTGCCCACATTACTCAAGCAGGCCAATCCTAGGCTGTGGCCCTGCCCTGCCTTGCCTGTCCCATGGAAAATACGATGAAGGTTCTGGGCCATGCTTTCCCCTTGATCCTTCCATCTCCTGACCAAACCCAGTGCTTCCCCTGTGGCCCTGTGTGGCATGGTGTGCCTTTCCTCTTGGGAAATGTAAGTAATAAAGTCCTTTCAGTATCAGTGACCTCTCCATGTCAGTACTCAGCCACCTTTATAAATTAAGACTTGGGCACAAATCATAATCGCCCCAAATACGCAGCTCTCACCAGTGTTACAGTCAGGAAAAGCGGAATGTTTTGTTTTCATGGATAATTAGGAAGGCTTAAACCACACACCTCGCAAAATTTTTCAATCTGTCCCTCCCCGTGAACCACCTTTTGGAGGTTGTTTTTAGGTAAGATATTTTCTTTCTGAGTTACTAATTCACAATCTATTTACAGGTGTGGAGAGAGAAGAAAACAGAAGATAGATGCTCTGCCAGAATCCAGTGTGGAGTATTTGAAACTCCTATTTTTTTTAACTCTCAAAATGTGATGTTGAGATTAGTTAGATATTCTTAGGTGCTTCAACACCTATTTCTGGCCAGAGGGGTTTTGATTTCTTTGCTTCTGATTGTTCTCATTCCATGACAGTTCTTTCTTGTGCTGCTCTACTGAGTGATTTATTTTTTAATACACAAAGCAAAGGGTCTTGGGACAGTGGTTCTTGAACTAAGGATAAGAATCACTTGGGAAGTGTGTTCAAAGGTAGATTCCTGGGCCTCACCCCCCAGAAGGTGGTTTCAGAAGGTCTGAGATGTTTCTGGAAAGGTGCCACGTGGATCTGGTGTGCGTGGCTAGTGGTCTACACTCTGAGAAACACTAGGCCCTGAGCAGAATGGTTTTTTTGCACACTGTAACGGTTTGAATAATGCCCCTCCCCACCCCCCAAGAAGGTAGGTCCAAGTGCCTAACCCCTGTACCTGTGAATGCGACCTTATTTGGAATAGGGTCTTTGCAGATGAGATGAAGGATCTCAAGATGAGATCATCCTGGATTTAGGGTGGATCCAGTGACTTGTGTCTTTATGAGAGAAAGGAGAAGAGAGTTGAAACAGAAACACAGAAGAGAAGCCCACATAAAGATGGAGGCAGACATTGGAGTGATGCAGCTTCAAGTCAAGGAACACAGGGAGCCACGGGAAGCTGGGAGAGGCAAGGAAGGATCCTCCCCTAGAGACTTCAGAGAGTGTGTCCCTGCTGACTCCTTGATTTTAGACTTCTGGCCTCTAGAATTGTGAGAGAATACACTTCTGTTGGTTTGTTTGTTTGTTTTTTTTTAAGATTTTATTTATTTATTTGAGAGAGAGAATGAGAGACAGAGAGCAAGAGAGGGAAGAGGGTCAGAGGGAGAAGCAGACCCCCCGCTGAGCAGGGAGCCCGATGTGGGACTCGATCCCGGGACTCCAGGATCATGACCTGAGCCGAAGGCAGTCGCTTAACCAACTGAGCCACCCAGGCGCCCACCAAGTTCATGGTCATTTGTTACAGCAGGCACAGGAAACTGACACAGGCATAGGCCCACTCTGAACCAGAGAAGTGCATCAGGCATGCAGTGTGGGCCTGCCCTGCTTTATACGTGCTGTAAATAAACGGAATCCCATGTTTACCGAATACGGACCTTTTGTCTTGGATCTTTGGTAAAGGACAAAACTCTGTAACATGATCAGCTTCTTCAACTTCCTGTGTTTTAGGGAGTTCTCTTTTTTCATAAAACTCATATAACCTGTAATTCCCTTCTTTGTGTGTGTGTGTGTGTGGCTGTTTGAAAATAACCTGTTCAGTTATCCATCAGAACTTGACAATTTATTTCTGGCCAAAGATTTCTTCTGGTGCTCATCCCAGACAACAAATGCTCTAACATGTTGTTCTAAAAGAATATTAATATCATAACCACCTCAGTTCTTCAGAAAGCTCATATCTCTCCAGGAGCCAATGTTCTTAGGCTTACCTCAGCGACTCAAAGGACATTTGCTAACATCTGTTTGGGACATTGCCCTGCATACTTCTGCAGACCGCTTAAAAACAAAAAACAAAAAAACAAAAAACCAGGCTGCAAAGGCAGTTAGGGGACCACTGATCCAATTGTCTCTTCTTGCTAATGGCCATAAGTCTGTTCAATAGAGCATCAGGGGATATCAAAATGATACCTCAACTAGGAGCTGCTTTCAGGGCCCTGGATGAAACCCCACTGACCCAGAGGAGGTAAAAAGCATCTTACGTCTTGATCTCAGCTGGCCTTTAGTCAAGGGTCTCAAACTCAAATGCCAACATGGGCCAGGCAGGTGACAGAAATGAGTGATGCAGGCCAGGTATAAGGCAATAGGGAGTGGTGGGGACTGTAGCAAACAAACAAACCCACATACCTTTTATAAAGGGAACCACTGACACCTCCAGCAGAGTGGTGCTGTGTGGGATATGAACCCTGAGTTGTCAAATGGTTTAGTTTTTTTTTTTTTTCCCCAAATAGTTAAATTTTTCGAGAAAAGTAAGAAGTCCAGATTTTTATGTAGAATGTCTCAACTTTCAAAACATTGTATAGGCAAAAGACAAGTAAACAAAAATAAAGACACAGTCGAAGGCGGCCTGCCAGTTTATGATGCTGCTTTGGGTAAAATGTAAAGAGACCCATTTGCTTGAGCAGATCGCCTCCAGAAGTCAGTAGGAATGCGAGCAGAAGTGTTAGGAAGCAGTGAATGTGTATGTGTGCATGCACATGTGCACTTTTGCCTACACTTGCATGTACAGATTAAGTAGATGCCTTGTTTTATTCACTCCTCCAGGAAACCGGCAACCTGGTTGTAGAGACAACATGTAGTCAGCTGAAGGCTGACTAAGAAAGTATGTTTGGGGTGCTAGATGATCTAGTCTAGACTAGTGCTTCTCAAACTTCAACGTGCACATGAATCTTCTGGGAATCTTGTTACAGTGCAGATTTCGATTCAGTTCATCGAGTGGGGCCTGAGATTCTGCATTAGAACAAGCTCCCAGGTGAGACCAGGCTGCTGGTTCCAGGACTACACTTTGAGTATGGAAGTTCTAGATTGGTGGTTCTCACACCTGAGAGGCTCTCACCTAGAGGGCTTATGAAGACAATCCCCAGGGTGTCTGATTCAGTAGGTCCAGGGCAGAGCCTGCGAATGTGCATTTCTAACACGTTCCCAACACGTGATGCTGATGCTGGGCGTTGCACTTTGAGAAACACTGGTCTACACTGTTAATGCTAAAGGTATTCAGAGAGGCTACAGAGTTCTGCAAGGCTATCCCCCTAACATGAGCTCCTGGAAAGCACACAATATCTGCAGGGGTCCTACCCTGTGCTTGGAGAGGCCTTCTCTGGTCGCTTCCCCCACTTCTACCCCTTTGCTCTGCCCCAACCCTGCAGTACAGTATCTTGTTTGATTTTCTTCCCAGCATTTATCATCATCTGAAATGGTCTTATTGGAGTTGTTTGCTCTATTGAGGTATAGTTTACATATAATAAGGCACACAAGTCCTAAGAGTTGAGTTCAATGAGTTTTGACAAATGAATACACTGTATAACTTTAACCCTGTCAAGATCTAGAACATTCCATTGCCTCAGAAAACTCTCTTGGTCTCCTTTCCAATCAGTTCCTATTTGGCCTCCCCCATCCCCACTCTCCAGAGCAGCACCCACTGTTGCCTTTTATCATCATAGAAAAGTTGTTTTGCCTGTTCTTGTACTTCATATAAACGGCATCATACAGCATGGCTCATTTTGATCTAGCTCCTTTCACTCAACATAATGTTGGTGGGACTCCTCTGTGTTGTTGCTTGTGCAAGTAGTTTGTTCCTTCTTCATTTATACTAACTAGTGCTTTATTGTATAAATATACCCCAATTTATTTCTCCAATCACCTGTTGGACATTTAGGTTGTTTCTGGGTTTTGGTAATGATGACGAAGGCTGTTATGAACATTCATGTACAAATCTTTGTGTGGACCTGTGTTTCCTTTCTTTACCTAAGAGTGGGGTTTCTGGATTAGAGGATAGATGTATGTTTAACTTTATAAGAAACTTCCCAACAGTTCTCTAATGTGGTTGTGCCATCTTACACTCCCACCAGGGAACTAGGAGAGTTCCAGTTGCTTTTCCACCTTGTCAGCATTTGGAACAGCCAGCCTTTTAAAAATTTTTACCTCTTCTGGGGGGTATATGTAGGTGTTTCTCATTGTGGTTTAAATTTACATTTCCCTGAAGACTAACGATGTTGCCTTATTGGAGTTCTTAATTTACTTATATTCTTGTCTTGTATGTTATAATGACTTATATTCATGTGCTACTAAAATATAAGCTAAGTAGTACCTTTGTCCAGTTTGTGTACCAATATATACCCATTGGCACAGCAATATTTTTTTTCATTGCTATATATTTGATAGACGAATAAATAAGGAGCGCCAATATCAATTTCCTAATGGCTTCATAGGCAAAATGATTATATAGCCATTATTCTAGGGATGTAGTTGGCAACTTTTTTTGAAAAGGGAACAGCATAAGCCTACTTTGTATCTGGAACCAAATGGCACAAAAGGATCAGCCACAATAACAATCACCGAAACCTATCTGGTACCTACAAGCAATGAGAGGTCATGGAACCTCAAACTTAAGGGCCAAGTTAGTGCTGGGGCAGAGTTGTAGCAACAGGCTGAAGAAATGATCCAGACATAGGAGGTAACATGGAAATGAAGTTAGGATGGCACAGGATCACTACCGGGGAAAAGTCAGAAGCAGAGGTGTGAACTGTGCAGAGGGTCAAAACAAGAGTAGAGTAGGTCAGCCCCAAATCAGCACCAGCCAGTTTCAATGGTGAAAATGAACCAGGAGTCTAGTCAGCTCTTATAGGGTTGAAGTCCAGAAGTAAGAAGCATACAAGGTGCACTACAAAGAACCTTACAAGTCAGATGAGACTGCAGGTGGAGCAGCAGTGTGGCATCAGGAGTCTTAAAGATGTTCTTACCAAAAAGACTTCCAATCAAGGTGGCAGCCTGAGGGCCAGCACAGGATGCCCACCACCTCCCACCGCATACAAAGAAGTGCAAGATAAAATATATATATATATATTTAAAAATACTTTATTTATTTATTTGACAGAGAGAGAGTTAGCAAGAGCAGGAACACAAGCAGGGGGAGCGGGAGAGGGAGAAGCAGGCCTCCCGCTGAGCAGGGAGCCCGACGCGGGGCTCGATCCCAGGACCCTGGGATCACTACCTGAGCCGAAGGCTGATGCTCAACGGCTGAGCCACCCAGGCGCCCCTTTTAAAATATATTTTTTAAAGTCATACCAATGTATTACTGAGCTCAAAACAAGGAAAGACATTTTCTAGGTGCTAGAGATGAGTGGGGAGTGGGAGTCATGTCTGGAGTCTGGAGTCTGTCCCCTAGGAGTACCCCAACCAGATCTGTTATCTGAGGAGCTCGAGTCTTACCCTAGAAGTGTAAGGGAGCTGAGGCTGCAGGAGCCCTACCCAGGGAGGGAGCAGGGATAGGATACTTTCAGCAGAGTGAAGACATTCAGTGCCCAGAAATTAAACCAAAAATTGATTGATAATTGATAGATGCCCATACAGTCCTGCAGACTAGAAAATTACATAATCACCCCAGAGGAATGCCTCCGCATCCCACGGCACACACAGAACTTTGCACAAGACCTTTCCTGCTGAAACTCACCAACAAATACTTCAAAGCCTCGGAAGAAGAAATCCCACCCGAGTTACTACAAATAATGGGTCAGGGTGAAAGGGGTTATATAGTAGAACAGACAGAAGGAATAGGATCCGTAAGGTCAGAATGGACCTCACTGAAACAGTAATAGATGGCTTTGAGAAAGAACTGAATATAAACCTGAGAAATGAAAAATATAGGCATAGGAAAAAACTTAAATGATAAATGTTAATGATAACATGATAAAATGTTAATCGCCTTTGATCCAATAATTCTACTTCTAGAAATTTATCCCAAGGAAACAATCTGGAATTCAAAGATTTATGTACAAAATGTGCGGTGTAGAATTATTTGTAATAGAAAAACTAGAGACACCCCAAATGTCCAGTAATGGAGGAACGGGCAAGAAAACCACTCGATGGAAGGAAAAGTGTGTGGATTTGGGGGTCAGAGTGACCTAGGTTAGTTAGGGTTATGGAGCTACTGTTAGCTGTGGGTCCTGGGTAAATCATTTCACCTTTCTCAGCTCTACCTGAGAACATGAATATCCACCTTCCAGGGTTGATGTGAGGTGGAGAGGTGATGACTTCGAGGGCCTGGTTTATAAAAGACCCACCCTCAGTGGTGCCTCTTGTTATCATTATGCTTGCACGGTGGAATCATTAACGTGATGGTCACAAGGAATTCCGAGTGACCCAGGGAATGGCAAAACAAACACACAAACACAGAATACCAGGTTATAAGTGTGATCTGCTCTCATAGAAGCCTCATGAAAGAATTGGTTAAAGGAAGGAAAATTCACCAGTTATCTTTGATTATCTCAGTGTTGAGGAATTATGGGTGATTTATATCCTCCTCTCTATGCTCTTCTCTGTTTCCCCAATTTTGTTTCTGTTTTACAAAGAGTGTGTATCACTTTAATAATTAAAAAGAAAAAAATTCAACCAAAAATCCAGTCACCCCTAGTTCTTAGAGGAAGCTTTTTGCATTCATCTTGTTGCCTTGGGAACCAAAATTAATTCTCACTGACTGCTGGGGATGCAATTTAGCGAGGTCTGGAGGTTTCTGGGCGCTGTTACCTGAAGTTGTAGCCAGGGTACGAGGACTCATTGGTGGTCTTGTCGTCAAGGCGACGGAAACTGTATTTTGGACGGCAGTGATGGAACCAACTGTCCAAGTTGCAGTCCCAGTAGATCTCAATGCCCATGATTCCTCCCTGGGGAAGACACAGTCTCTAAGTCCTGCTGCACATGGGACACAGCTTCCAGACCTCTCCCTGCACAGGGAGGTGTTCTTTTTAGAGGGAAACACAGATTGACGTTTCAGAGCCACGAGTGCAGCCCCATCTAACACACACAAGTGGCTGCAAACGCATTTCCCTGCTCCTCCTCCCATCTGGATGCACCCTTAGATTTATTTTCCTAAAATAAAACTTTCAGTAAATCTCGTCCATAATCTAACACCTTGAATGGCCCCCCCATTAAAGATTAAGTTGAAGCTTGTTACACTGGAATTCAGGGAACCCCATCACATATCTTTTCTGCTTTACCTCCCAACACTCCTCTGGAGAAAGCTCTTATTTCACACTGTCTACACTTTCCCCTATACAGAATTGGCATTTTTATTTCTTTTTTTTTTTTAAACACCTTTATTAAGATATAGTTCACATACAATTGGTACAAGTGTATAAAAGTGTGTAATTCAACAGGTTTTAGTATATTCACATATATGTGTGACTGTCACCATAATAAATTTTATAGCAGTTTCATTGCCTCAAAAAAAACCCCTAAACTTTTAGTCAGTGCCCCTTTCCACCCCTCCTCTCAGCCCTAAGCAACCACCAATTTACTTTCTGTCTCTATAGAGTTCCTTATTCTGAACTTTCTTTCATATGAATGAAATAATATAATATGTGATCTTTTGTGATGGATTTCTTTTAATTAGCATAATATTTTTATTTTTAGTTATTTATTTTTTTAAGTAGGCTCCATGCCCAGCGTGGAGCCCAATGTGGGTCTGAACTCACAATCCTGAGATCAAGACCTGAGCCGAGATCAATAGTAGGACACCCAACTGACTGAGCCACCCAGGTGCTCCCACTTAGCATAATATATATATTTTTAAACAAAGTGAGGGAAGGAACACAGGCAGGGGGAGTGGGAGAGGGAGAAGCAGGCTTCCTGCCAAGCACGGAGCCCGATGAGGGGCTCCATCCTAGGACCCTGGGATCATGACCTGAGCCGAAGGCAGACACTTAACGACTGAGCCACCCAGGCACCCCCATAATATATTTTTTTAAAGATTTTCTTTACTTGAGAGAGAGAGAGCCAGAGGAGGAGCAGAGGGAGAGGGACAAGAAGACTCTGTGCTAAGCACAGAGCCTGATGAGGGGCTCAATCCCAGGACTCTGAGATCATGACCTGAGCCAAAATCAAGAGTCGGACGCTTAACTGAATGAGCCACCCAGGCACCCCTTACCATAATATTTTTAAAGTTCACCCATATTGTAGCCCATATCAGTACTTCATTCCGTTTTATGGTGGAAGAATATTCCATTGTGTGAATGGACTACATTTGGTTTATCTATTTATCCTTTGATAGACATTTGGATTGTCTCCACCTTTTGGCTATTATGAATAATGCTGCTGTGAACACTTACAATGTGTGAGTTTTTGTGTGGACATGCGGTTCATTTCTCTTGAGTATATACTTAGGAGTGGAATTGCTGGGTACACTTGAACTTTTAGGTCTCAGCCCTTGTCTTTTCTCCCATTGAAATATTTCTCCTACCATCTCTCTAGCTAAATCCTCATCATCCTCCAAGACTCAACTTACAACCTTCCTTATCCATTCAGTCACCCCTCCTCCTCAATTCAAGGTGATCTTTCTCTTCTCTGAACTTCTAAGGAATCTCTTAATCTCTTACCTCTACTTGGTACTTCTTTCTTCCTACAAACATGTTTTGAGCACCGACTATCTTATTTCACTGATTCTTAGACACCATTGCTTATCAGACAAGTAATTTTCTTTTTCTCAGAAGGAAATGCTGTCAATTAAACTGTGAAATTCCCTCATCGAAAGCACTTTTTGATTTCAGAAAGATTAAAATGTGAAAAAAGTATGTCTTTGAATCGACAAAAGATGGTATTTCAAGACAGTGTGCTAGATGCTAGGGAAAAAAGATGAGTAGCAAGCAGACTCTGACTTGGAGAAAGGGGAATTACAGACTAATCACAATTGTCATTTATTGGCATGAAGTCAAGCACTCTGCATATTTTTGTGAATATCTGATGTTTCTGTCATTTAGCATCCAGTTCTCCTGGTAAAAATGCCTGGAATTTTCTTTGGCAAACGTGTATCCCAGCTGAGTGGTTTGAATGGGACTGCCCTCTCTCCCAGCTCCCAGAATGGCAAGATGGTCTAGGCCTGGCCAGTAAGGACCTGATGACTGGTTCAGGAATAGGTATGTGGCCCAAGATAGACCAATCAGAGTCTTCTCTGAGACATTTTGTCAGAACCATAAAAAAAGAGGTCCTCTATTGGTTGGGACCACTAGCCAGAGATTGTGACAGTCCACAGCAGCATTGTCCAACAGAATCTTCTGCAGTGATGGAAATATTGTATATTCATGCTGTGCAATCAAGTAGTCACTGGCCACATGTGGCTATTAAGTGCTTGAGATGTGGCTACTATGACAAAGGAAATAAATATTTCATTTCATTTCAATTAATTTAAGTTTAAATAGCTTCATGTGACTAGTGGCTACCATGTCAGACAGCACAGTCCTAGGACTTTGGCGGCTTTACCTTGACATGTGGACAATCTGCCTAGGAATGACATCATCATTAAGGAAACAGCAAAGAGATGAAAGGAGTCAGATTCCTAAAGACATCATTTGAGTTCCTGGATGCAGCCATGCCTACTGCTATCACATGCTTCATTCAGTCAATAAATATTTATTGAGTGCCCATTATGCTGAGCATTATACAAAAATTAACAAAAGATTCCAAAGACGCCTGCCCTCGTGAAACTTCTAGTCAGGGAAGACAGACAACAAACAAATGGATATATAAAATATATACTATGTCAGATAGTGCTAGGTGCCAGGGATAAAAATAAACCTGGCAAGGGCCATAGAGCATGCTGGGATAGGGGTAGAGATTGAAATTGTCATTTAAAATTTTTTTTCAGAGAGTGGGGAGGGAGAGAGAAACTTAAGCAGGCTCCATGCCCAGTGTAGAGCCTGAGGCGGGGCTCGATCTCACAACCCTGAGATCATGACCTGAGCTGAAATCAAGAGTCTGACGCTTAACCAACTGAGCCACCCACGTGCCCTGAAATTGTCATTTTAAAGGTAGTAGTAAGGGAAAGCTTCACTGAGCTTATATTTGAGCAAATATTGGAAGAAGGTGAGGGAGACAGCTAATGCTATGTCTGGGGCAAGACTGTTCCAGGCAGAGGGGACAAGCAGAAGAAAACGCCCAAGGTGGGGTGCTCCCTCTTTAAAACAAATAAATAAAATCTTTTAAAAAAGAAAGGAAAAGAAAACTCCCGAGGTATGAAAGTGCCTTGGGTGTACTAGAAAGTCCATTTCCCCTGGTGTCTTTACATGAGTTAATAATACATGGTTCTTTTTTTCGCTTAAGCCAATTGAGTTTGGTTTCCTTTTGCCCCCAAAATGCTTTTTAATTTATTCTTTGCTTACATTATTTGAGTTGGATGTCCGTAAGGTGCAAATGGAAGAATCCTGACAAATCCAAGTGTGGTGGTCTGAATAATGACTCCCAAAAGTATTCCGAATCCCAGGTCCCAACCCTCGGAATCTTCGGATATATTATCTTATTGGCAAAAGAGACTGCAGATGTGATGAACTTAATGGGGAGATTATCTTGGATTATCCAAATGGGCCCTACATGTTTCCTTTTATAAATGCTCTCTCTGAAAAAGACCAGTATCTTTATAAGAGGGAGGCAGAGGGAGACTTGGCACAGAATAAGTCAATGTGACCACTGACGCAAGATGCTGTGCAGCTGGCTTCGAATCTGGGAGAAGGGGCTACAAGCTTCTAGCTCTAGAAGGTGGAAAAGGCCAGGAAATGAATTCTCCTGTGGGGCCTCTGGAGGGTTCGTGGCCCCAGTGATATCTTGATTTTGGTCCAGTGAAACTGATTTTGGACTTCTGACTCAAGGACTCCAGACCTCTGGCGTGTTGTTTTAAGCCACTGAGATCGTGGTGGGTTGTTACAGCAGTCTCAGGAACTACTGCTCCAGGGATGTGACTCACAGGGTTGTTGTTGGATTAGATGGGGTAAAAATGCAGGGAAAGGCCTTGGCACCAACCAGGGATTTACTGAATGCTCAATAAAGGGAGCCCTATAACTAAGATCCAGGGGCCTGGCCTCTTGGCTATTTGACATCTTCCACCCCCCGAATCACACCCTCGCCATCCAAAGACACCACCAACCTGAATTGCCACATCTGAAAAATTATCTCCTGTTTCTTGGAAGATATCTCCTAGTCGGAAAATAGGACACTGTGGATTCTGAGTCTTGTGAAAGGTACAGGTGATGTTTACACCTGGCAAGATGTTTCTCCTGCACGCAATGAGAAACAAACAAACAAACGTGTTTTTGAAAACTGAGACCCGTCTCTTTCATGGCAATGAGCCAGTTGGTAGCTGGGTTCCATGAGGGGCCCCGGGGATCCTCAGCCCCTGGGATTCACACCCTTGTGTAGTCCCCTCCCATCCTGTGCTGGGTTGGTCTGTGACCATTAGCATGTGGCAGAAGTGATGGTGTGTCACTTCCAAGCTTAAGTCATAAAAGCCTGTGACTTCCATCTTGTTTACTGTATTGTTGGCTTGCTGTCTGTCCCTCTCGGATCACTTGCCCTGGGGGAAGCCAGACACCATTCCTAAAGGACACTCAGGCAGTCCAAGGGGTGGTCCATATGGTGAGGAACTGAACCTCCTGCTGACAACTAGGTGAGTGAGCTTGGAAGAGGATTCTAGCCCCAGTCAAGCCAGAGATGACTGCAGTCCCCACTGACAGCCTGACTGCAACCTGAGAGACCCTGAATCAGAACCATCCAGCGAAGTCATTCCCACATTCCTTACCCACAGAAACTGTATGAGATAATAAACATGGGCTGTTAAGCTTCTAAATTTTGGCTAATGCATTACACAGCAGTAGATAGCTAACGGCTAGACATTCCGGGCACTTACGTGGTGTAGTTGTGGCCAGGGAAGTCAATGTTATTCTTGATGAGCACAGTGAAGTTTTCGGCACTGTTCAAGAGTGCGGGCCTGAGAGAGAGATTCGAAATGGGGATCAGTGGGGCAGTGGGACCACAGGCTTCTGGTTTCTAGCTCGGGTCATTGCAATGAGGGAAGAGAAATGTAGTCTAGTGGCAAAACCTTCCTAAAAATCTAAAAAAGAGTAAGAATTTCTCTCTTCCTGAGACCCCATGGCATTTACTATAACCCTTCTCACACTCTGATGTAATTAATTGTATGTTTAGGTATGTGTGGTGATGTCCTGGTAAATGTTTAACATTTCTTTCCCCCAGTGGGGAAGAAAAGCTCTGATATGTACCATTTACTGATTACTGTGGTATATGTACTCCCACCATGGCTGATCTCAAGCCATTAGTGAGTATCACTGAACTTGGAGTTGGGAAGGGATGAGCATAATTGGCTCAGAGTCAGTATAAGCCAGCTCCAGCACACCTCTGTTTGTGTCTTTCCCAATAGACTTGGATTTTTCTTATCTTGGCATCCCCGGCCTTTAGCACAGGGCCACACATATAGTCAGCTCTATTAGTTATAGGTTGATAAGCTCTGAGGAGCATAAATTCTCCATGAGTTAGAGGAGCCCAAATCCTAGACTTTAGGAAGGTCCACCGACAACCCATAGATTCATTCATTTGACAAATATTTATTCTGCTGGGCATGGGGCTAGGCATTGGGAATATAGTGATGAACAAGGCAGTCAAGGTTTTTGTCCTTATGTAGTTGACAGTCTGCTAAAGATGGAGAGAATTGGCTGTGGATAAAGAGATACAGCTGGTACCTTATTGTTGGCAGGCCTGAGTGGGTGGCAGATATATATAATGGGAGTACACCAGAAAAGGATGGAGGTATTTGGAAGGGGGCACCAAGATGATCTACTTTTTATTCCAAAATTGCCAGAGCCCAGCTTTGCCTCTATTTAGGATATAACTGTAGAGAACACTATAGTTTTTGCCTGCCCAGCATCCATTCCCCCTCTGTTAGAACCACCTCAGTTTTCTCCCTTTGGGATAGCCAGGTCTCTTCCACTCTCAGCCCAGAGGGTTGGGTGGGGAGGAGTCCATCTCCTGCCTATCCTTACAGCTCCCAGGATGGGCAAGTGACCCAGAGATGGCTAAACAGAATAACCCAATCCTCTTGGCTATAGTGATTGGTTCATAGATTGTTATATGACTTAGGCCAATGAAAACATTCTAGGGTTTTTGTAGGAAATACTGGAAAAAGAAAAACTCATTTTTCTTTAGGATTGCTAGTAGTAAAGACAGTGTAAACCCGGAGTTCCCTGGACCACAGTGTGAGGAAAACCAAAATGGAAGAAAGAATAACTGGGGTGGGGGTGGGGGTGGGGGTTGGAAAAGACAGAAAGAAAAAGAATCTTAATGACATCATTTTTATTTGAAGGCTGGATCAACCCTTTCCTGAAACTAGTACTTCTGGACTCCTCATTTACAGGAATTAAAAAAAATAATAACATTGTCTTTTTTCCTGAAGCCAGTTTAAGTTGTATTTCTGACATTTGCATAAAAAATCTTATTTATAACAAATGCCTATGACATGCCAGACTGTTTACCTTTAGAACATCCTAAATGCTTCCTGGGCAACATTCTAAGAATAAGAGGACTTGAAACTTGAAGGATCAAAGTCCTTTATTCCTCTCTTATGACACGCTTAACTTTCTGCCTTGAATTATAGTTCTCTGTGCACATGTCTTACCTCTGATTAGCCTGCAAGAGGCTTGGGACCTGCTCGCTATCTGGGTCTGCTTGTATTTTTAGCACAGTCTCTTGTGCATAGTTACATGTAAAATTAATATCTAATACCTCCTATGTGGTATCGGATGTGTTGACTGAATGATTAAATGAATCATTTTAGTAATCCCTTTGCATAAAATATGAGGAAACTGAAGTTCAGGGGGTTGCTTGCCCAAGGTCATGTAGAATTGCAGTCCAAGGACCTACACATTGGAGATGCCCAGTATTTATCTGATGAATAAGTTAGCAACTGAAAACTACAGGTAATCAAGAGGACTCTTTCCTTCAACCAGGGACTACTTGAGTGTTAGCCGATAGCTCACTCAAGCCCTAGGCAATTCTTTCCGTGAAAAAGAAACTTCTCTGACCTAGGAATAAACCTGGGTGGTACCATTAATGATTGAGGGCTGACCCTGCCGAGTGCTTCCCACCCTGTCATGGGAAACCTTTGCCTGGACCTTCTAAAAAGTCAGCTTGGGGCAATCTTCTCTTTGCCCCAAAGATGCTGATGGTGTGGTTTTGAGTCACATTCATCTAGAGCTGTGTTCTCCTGTATAGTATCCCCTAGGCATGTGTGGCTATTAAAGTTGAATTTAAATTAAATTAAAAATTCAGTTGCTCAGTTGTAGTAGCCACATTTTAAAGTGCCCAATGGCCAATGTACCTAGTGGCTACCATATTGGACAGTGCAGGTACAGAACATTTTCATCATTGCAGAAAGTTCCTTTGGACAGTGCTGGTCTAGAACCACCACACTTCTAGGGGGAGATCATTTTTGGGTGTGTGTCTGTGCGCACATGTGTGTGTGTGCACGCATGTGCGTGTGTGTGCATTATTTGGCACTTACTATAAACTAGGCATGGGGCTCACTTTGCTTGTGAGGTACAAGTATCATCTCATTTAATTCTCACAACAGCCCGCGAGGTGGGGCCAACTATTATCCTCATTTTACAAATAAGGAAAATGAAGCTCAGAGAGGTTAAGCCGCTTGCTCAAGGTCACACAGTGAGGAAGTGTTAGAGTCAGAATTTGAATCCAGGTCTCTCTATTCTTCTGCTGAAATGTACCAATCCCTGTGATTTCTGAGATTTAACATCAAGTTCTGCTTTCTGGGCCTGACATTGTGTATTAAAGAGAAGAATCAATATAGGGGATCAACAAATCTGTATGTCACTGTGACCACTTAATTTAAGAAAACTTCTCTTCTCTCCCTCCCTTGCTCCCTCTTTTCCCCTCCTTCCTCTCCCCTTCCTTTCCCTTCCCCTTTCTTCCTTTTTCTTTTCCTCACTCCCTTCCTGCCACCTTCCCATCCTTAATTGCTCAGTATGGACACCAACCAGTCAGAATGGGGCCTGCTGTAGTGCTAGAGGAGGGCTCCAGAGACGCTCTGTAAGGTGCTGGGACAGCCAGGGGCCCAGGGGCACCCAAGGTGCTCAGGGTAGTAGTTATATACCAGCCCGTATAGAATTATTGCAATATTTTAACAATTAGCATGGCCTTCTCAGAGACCACTGGTGTGCCGGGGACGGAGGGGGAGAGAGGGAGGACTTTTCAGGACTTTTCATCTGCTCACTGGTCAGGGCCATCCCATCTCCGCGCCCCCCCCCCCCCCCCGCAGCTCACCGGGGGGCCTCTTCCACCTCCTCGATGGGACACCAGGCGGAGACTTCACAGGTCTTCAGCCTCTCTTTATACACTACACACCTTCCGGTCTGGATCCCTGGTGGGAGGGTGCGGGTGGGTCAAGGGGCCAGAGAAGCACAGGTGTGAAAACGGTGGTTGCATCATGAACTCAACCCAAGCAAGAGACTATTTATTTATGCTTTTCAACCCAAGCAGTTTCAGCTTCCACAAAACCCCATTCGAACCACAAACTTACATAAGGCAACCCAAGCAAGGAACACATCGGATGGTAAGCTTTTTTAAAAAAAAGATTGAGAGAGAAGACAGAGAGACCATGGATGCTGTTGGTTTATTTTGGTTTCTTTGCAAGAAAAATGCTGAGAGAGGAGCTGAGCAGGGTGTGTTCTCTCGCCTGGCACACCTGGACTAGAACATGGCTTCTAAGTGGGCGGGCACTGGAGTCCCTTAGGGGTGTACAGCATGGACCAGGAATGTGCAAAGCCACAGAATGAACATGACACATCTTCCTGGAGCGTTAGTGTCACTAACAGATTCCCGAGGGGGCAAGTTAAATAGTAAGTCATGTTTGAATGGTCTCTATACCAACTCAAACACACACATCTTATGGTACAGAATGTAACATCCGTAGGCCTTTTTTGTGTATGTGTGTGTGTTATAACCACTGATGGTTTTATCTTTTTTGTGGTCATTTTTTTTTTTTAATTGTCACGTGCGTCTTTAAGTTAAAACAAGAGATACAGAAATTCTGTAGGTTAATAGTGGTACCATCCCCAGGAGCCCTGGGGCTACAGTTCATACTCCTCAACCTTTGGGGAAATTCGAGGGGGAAAGCTCAGCATACACAGATGACACTGTGGGGCATTGATTTTCCTGTCAATGAGAGCCCTGAAGATGCTTATTCTGGGGGTTTTCAGTAGCTGCCCTCACTGGGGAATTAGATCACATTGCTAGTCAGTAGCTAATCCTCTGGGGACAGAGCAGAGGCATGGGACAGACACAGGCTCTCCCACAGCCTGGTGAGGGTGGAAGAAGGCAGCTGAGAGCCAGAGGCTAAAGATTTGAACTTTAGGGCATTGTGAATGTCACCAAGATACCAGACCACCCACCCCCCCAGGATCCCCGAAAAGAAACAGAACATACCTTTGCTCTGCGGGTCCATCCGTCCCTTTTTACAACCCCTGTCAGAGGAACAGATCGTCCTTCGGGTGGGAAACTGCAGGGAGAAGGACAGGATAGTGGGGAGTAAGCAATGTGTGTCTCTTAAGATACAGAAATGCAAATGCCTCTGTCCACACCAAAACTTGTACACAAATGTTCACAGCAGCACCATTCACAGTAGCCAAAAAGTAGAAACAACCCGAATATTCATCAGGACAAACAAAGCGTAGCGCATTCATACAATGGATATGATTTGGCCATAAAAAGGAAGGAAGCACCGACACCTGCTACAACACTGATGACCTTTCAAAACGTGATTCCGAGTGAAAGCAGCCAGCCCCAAAATGCCACATATCGTATGATCTCAGTGATACGAAATACCCAGAGTAGGCAAATCCACAGAGACAGAAAGTAGATCAGTGCTTGCCAGAGGCTGAGGGAAGGGGGGAATGGGGAGTGACTGCTCATGGGTACAGGACTTCTTTTTGGGGCGATGAAAATGTCCTAGAATTAGGTAGTGGGGTAGTGGTACAACATTGTGAAAATACGAAAACCCACTCATTTCTCCACTTTAAAATGGAGGACTTTATGGCATATGAGTTATATGTCAATAAAAAATAAAAATAAAACTCTAAAAAGCAGACGCCAAGGCAGCCAGGTACCACTTTCAGGGAAGGGCCCCCGGGCTGGAGAGCAGAACTGGGCAAAGCCACAAGCACGAAGGCTCAGCAGGAAATGGGAAGGAAGGGGTGCCAGCCAGCACTTTTTCCTGGCTTCAGAAAATGAGGTCAGCTAGGCCTCCGGCCTGAGGACAGAAGAAGGAAAAGAGAAATGCGATGACTAGTTTAGGCCCATTTGACTTTCTGTGTTCTAGGGAGCAGGTTTAATGGCCGGTCTTAGGGGAACCAGAGCCTGACCGTAGTGTGAAAATGGCCTCTGCCCATCATCTTCCTCTGACCTGTACCCCCTCCAGCAACTCTCCTCACCCGCCCGACCACTCCAGGTCCCCTCCTTACGTCAGGACATAACCCCTGCTGTTGGCCTTCTGTCTTGAGAAAGTTTGTCATCACGAAGAAGGAGTTCCCCTGCAGAGAAAGAGGAGAGGAGGCAAATGCCAGGCCTTGGAGAGCAGAGCTACTTAATCATAATAATCCAGCCTGCTCAGTGCCTGGGGGCGAACCTTCCACCTTTCTAAACTACACTCTAGAAATCAGGTCTGGGAGAAACTTGGACTGTGCTGAGGGCTTAATATCAAAGCTGGATGTGCCGCCCTGCTGAGCTAAAGGAGAGCAAAGGGACATTCAAACTGATTGAGTATTCATTTTCCATTCCAGCCTCAAAAGCAGCCTTGTCATTTTTTGGACACCATAAAATCCCATTAAATTGAAACTTAAGAGACCTGGGGAGTGGGGGTGGGGCGGTGGGGTGTTGGCTTCATCAGAACGCTGTTCAGATTATCCAGGATTTTAATTAAAGGGCAAAAGGCAGCCCACAACCCAGGAAATAGCTGGAGATCTTACTGAACCAGCTCTCCCCACGGCCCCAGAAACAAACAGATAGTGGCCTGGGTTTTATGGTTTTGCAAAGTACCCCAGCTCCCAGAGGCTGCAAAAGTGTCCCTTTGTCCCTCCAGCCTCCCTATCTGTTCTTTGGTGTTCTCATTCCTACTTTGAGTCTCCTTTTTGACTATTCTACTTTTATTTTCTCTTCTCGCAAATGTAAGCAGTCACATAGCCTCTCCCTGTGATCCACACCCTTCCTGTCTTTGTCATCTCTTTCCTTTCCCTTGTGTAAAAATGTATCTGAGTGAGTGTTTTTTTTCTAGAGACATTTTTGTTGATAAAACTCCACACAAACAATTTAGAAGGGCCAGTCCTGTCCAGGCAGGAAGTTCTTTGTCCTTCTGGATCTAGGCAGACCTTGCTGACTTGATGGCCCTGCTTCTAAAAAGCTGTGTATATATCAAGTTGTGAGTGAATCAAACCGTGCTTTAAATGCACCAGATCACACTGCTATTTTGAGAAACCCCGTAGGACTCGATAAAGCAAAGAATCATCTTTGAGCTGCTGGATTTGACCCAATTTTGCAATTTTTAGGTTTTCTCAGTTGGGATTTTCACAGAGCTTTTTAAAATAGGGCCAGTGTTTTTCTGACATGAGGCTAAGGGTCCCAGGGGAGGGAGGCAGGGCCCTGGTGACAGTGACCAGGGAGGAGTCCTTGGGAGTTGCTGACAAGAGCTCACCTGCAAGGGGAAGGTGTAATCTGCAGTGTCAAAGACCCCAGACACCATCTTCTTCATTCCATTCTCCAATATCTCCACTTTCACCTCTGCTATCCCTTTCACCTTGGTGTGCACGGAACTGATAAGAGGTTCTTTCTTTTGGTACCGCTTGTCACTGATCAAAGCAAAGCTAAATGGCAGACACAGAAAAGCATAAGTGGTTTTCTCAACAAAGGCACAGTGTAGTGGTGTTGGATGCAGGTTCCGAAGGCTCCCTCCATTCACATGCTGGCTTTTCTGGGTGACTTTGGGCAGCCTACCTACCTGCCTTCTCTGTGACTCATTTTCCTTATCTGTAAAGTGGGAAGAATCGTTGTACCTACCTCAGAGGTGGTTGTGAGGATGAAATGAGGTATGTGTGCAAACTCCTCAGCATCATATCTGGCACGCTATGAGCTCTCACCACGTGATGGAAATGATTGCCCCCAATGTCAGTCTCCAAAATTGCCTAATATAGACCCTGATTTACAGGGCAACTTCTCAAATACCAGAGTCCAGCTCCAGATTGGTCCACCTGTTTTGTCCTGGGGCTGAGCAACACATCAACGCTTAAGGATGTGTCCAGCAGGTCAGCCACCTATTTTCCAGAAACATCCACCTGGTTTATAATTAATATTGATAAGAGCAGCTGCCCTTTATCGAGCACTTAGTACATGCCAAGGGCTCTTCATGCGTCATCTGTTTAATCTTCACAGCAATAGGAGATGGTTACTGTTATCATCACTTTTATAGATGAGAAAATGGGCTGAGAGGTAAAGGAAATTGCCCAAGATAACACAGATCGTCAGTGGCAGAACTGAGGTCCTCAGTTGGTCTACCGTCTAGCCCAGAGCCAGACCTCTTAGCCCTATATGCCACAGTATGATGTAAAGTTTAAAGAAATCCAAAACAGCATTCTACATTCAAACAAATGCCTGTCCACGCATGCTCATAGCAGCACTATTCATAATAGCCTAAAGACGGACACAGCCCACATATTCAGCAGTGGACAAATAGATAACAAAATGTGGTCTACCTGTGTGATGAAATATTATTCAGCTATAAAAAGGAATAAAGTACTGAGACATGCTATACTGTGTAGGGACCTCGAAAACATTATGCGAAGGAAAAGAAGACAAATACAAAAGGTCACATGTTGTATGATTCTCTTTATGTAAAATAATCCAGAATAGGTAAATCCACAGCGACAGAGAGTTGACTGATGGGTGCCCGGGGCTAGGGAGCTAGAGTGACTATGAACGCGTGTGGTTTCCCTTTGGAGTGGTGAAAATGTTTTGGAACTAGATAGAGGTGGTGGATGTACAACAATGTATTATTAAATGCCACTGATTTGATCACTTTACAGTGGTTATTTCATGTGATATGAATCTCACCCCAATAAAAAAAGGAAAAAATGTTTTTTAGCTATAGACGTACGTTGTAGAAATATAAAAACAAACACAGAATGACAAATACCAAATTCAGCATGGTGTTTATAAGAGGAGAGGAAAGAGAGTGGGATCCAGGCCGGGTCTGCAGGGAGCTAAAACTGGATTAATAATATTTTATTTCTTAAATTGGATGGTGGTACATGGGTGTTTACTATATTTTTGTCAATATATTTTAGTATTTATATACCATTCATTAAAAGAGAAAGTTCACCAGGGGTGCCTGGCTGGCTCAGTTGGTGGAGTGTGTGCAGTTCTGGATCTTGGGGTTGTGAGTTCGAGCCCCATGTTGGGTGTAGAGATTACCCAAAAATAAAACCCTAAGGAAAATAAAAGAAAAAAGAAATCTCATCAAGAAGGACTTTGGAGCTAGAGATCCAGATTTTAGGTCCAATCAGCATATACGAGAAGGAGCTATGACATACAGTTCCATAGATAAATATAATACTTGTTTGACAGCGTATTTCAGCCTAGCATAACAATGTGAACATGGTCTGTGCAGTGTTTCCATGTCAGACATGGCGACATTCTCCCAGAATAACACTGGGTTAGTTTGGCCCACCATTTGGGAAGCTCGATTTGAATCTGTCATATTCATTTCAGGCACACAACATATTATAGATCAGCTGTAACGGAATCCAACCATCTCATAAGTCAGAAAACTTGTCTTTGTATTATAATGAACCTATCATACAAGAGCTGCATCAAAGGAAAAAAAGGAAAAGAGTTGATGGTATCCTGCCCTAATGACTGTCCCTAAGACTCAGACAAGCCATGTCACCTCTGGCCATTGGTGTAGTCCCTGAACAAGGGGACGGCTGCCTGGCTCTCTGATCCCTGTGAACTTTCAGCTCGAAGAAGCTACGATTCTGTGCATGCTGAAGACCAAAAACCCACTGGTCCCTCTGGTGCATGGGCAGGAAGGAGCTGGGGGCTTACTGACGCCTTGTAGGATGGGGAGAAAGAGATGGTGGGATGGAAAGCTGCTGAGCCTGGGGAGGTCGGAAGAGGACTAATGTGAGGGGAAGTGGGCACTCACAGGCAGGTCTGGCCTCAGAGGGGGGCTGCAGAGGGATGGGGAGGAGCGAAGGACAGAGAATGAGCTCAGCTGTGGAGCTCTGAGGCTTGCACACAGCACCAACTCAACAGGTGTAGATGAAGGTGCCCACCATGAAGAGGACCTGCACACTCTGAATATGAAGGGCTTTCTCTTATTGGCACCTCAGGGGGCCCCGGGCCCATGCCAGCATGGTGAGAGAGCCCTCAGAGGGCCTCAGGCCGGGAAGCACAGCTCAGCAAAGCTTGACCCTCCCTCACAGCGCCTGGGCTCACTGAGTAAAGGTAACTCTAAAGTGAAAGGATGGGATCTGAAAGTGAACCACCCTCAAATCTGGGTAACTGACACTTACCCCAAGGCCAACATTTTCTTGGTGCCTAAAGGAACTGTGGGCCCTGGACACTGTCCTCTGTACCTCATGGAGAACTTGAGCCCACAGCCTCTGCTTTCTGTATTTATAACCCCAAGAGAAGAATCCAATTATTTCCATCCCTGCCCCACTCAGCAGTGGGGTGAGGTCCGCAAGGGGCCAAGGACAGCAAGAGATCCACTGAGAAGAAAGTGGAGGGGAGCCTGCACCCCCAAGGCAAGTTAAGTACCGATTTTATTAGTTTTCCATTGCTCCTGTAACAAATTACCACAAACTTAGTGTCTTCGTGCAAATTTATTCTCTTAGTTCTGGGGGTCAGATACCTAAAATTGGTCTTATGGGGCTGAAATCAAGGTGACTCCTGGAGGGCTGGAGGCTCCACGAGAGAATCTGTTCCTCACCTTTTCCAGCTTCTAGAAGCTGTCTTGGCATTCCTGGGCTCCCAGCCACGTCACTCCAACCTCAGCTCCCGTTGTCATATCTTCTTTTTCTAACTTTGACCCTCTTGCTTCCCTCTTTTGAGGACTCTTGTGATTACATTGGGGACACTCAGATAATCAAGAATAATCTCCCCATCTCAAGACCTTGAACTCAATCACATCTGCAAAGTTCCTTTTGCCCATACAGATTCATAGGTCCTGGGGATTGGGAGTGGAAATCTTTTGTGGGCCATTATTCAGCCTACCCCAATATAGTTGGCCTATTGTAGCTTTATAAGAGCTCCCCCCCCGCCCCTGGCCCGCCCAGGCTTCACCCTACCCCACCTATTCCTGAGCTAGAGTGAAGGAGTTTCAGTTCCTTGTTACCCACGGCTTAACTAAGACATCATCTTCACTTCTAATTTCCTTTGGCTATTGCATTTCTTTTCCATCAGCCAACGCTTCTGGAAAACCCTTCCTTATAATGCTTCCCAAATGCTCTCTCTCATTCAAAGAACTTGTATTCCAGAATACAGTACTTTCTACACATTCAACTTCAACTACACATTCAATGGAGAACAGAGAGTGAATCTTAATCTATTAAAGTTTATCAACTAGAGGAAATATAATAGATACATGTAAAATCCTGACCTTGAACTAAAAAACTCAGTTATGCCAGTACAAAAAAGAGCCCACCCAAGGTGGCAGAAGTTTTTGTTAGAGGCCCGAAATTTTTAGATAATCCTGAGCCCATATGAACCAACATTATGTTATATCATCCAGAAGAAAACAAAACGACAAAACAAACAACTAGTGTTATCTTAAGCTTCAGTGAAAGAAGTAGAATATTTCACTCTTGGGTGGTGGTAAGCCAATGGCCTATGGCCACATTAGGCAGCCCTGTGTTTGGGTTTTATGAGCCACATTTTTCAAGAAAACCTCTTTAATTGTTGTAAAAGTGTAAATTTCACAGAACTGCACAAAGAATATGAAGAGCTTCTAACATTCTCCCTCCCAGAGGTTACTGCTGTTGAAACAGAGTATCTTCCAGGTATCTCTTTATGCCCACACCTTGACACCCAAACATGGCTACACTCTACATGCTTTATGTAACTTGCTATTTTTACTCAATAATATATTATTAAATCTTTCCACAACAGTAGTGATAAACATTATGATAAAGATAGATCTATGATATGGAATGACTTTTAATGGCTACAGAGCATTCTAGTGTTTAGATTGGAACATATGAAATTGCTCATTTTTTATTTTATTTTATTTTTTTTTTAAGATTTTTTATTTATTTATTTGAGAGAGAGAATGAGATAGAGAGCATGAGAGGGGGAAGGGTCAGAGAGAGAGACAGATTCCCTGCTGAGCAGGGAGCCCGACGCGGGACTCGATCCCGGGACTCCAGGATCATGACCTGAGCCGAAGGCAGTCGCTTAACCAACTGAGCCACCCAGGCGCCCGCTCATTTTTTAGACCAAAGGAGTAGATATTGGCAATTCCATATAGTTCAACCTAAGAGGCGAGTTGTGATAATTTGCCCCCTGTCTCTTCCTGGTGGATATTTAACTAGAAGTTTTGCTCAGTTTTTCCAATTGTAAACATTTTTTTGGTAACCCTGATACAGCTCTTACTGTGTGCCAAGCACTCTTTTAAGCATATGTTAATAATATATATTAACTCTTTCATTTCTCACCTCTCCCAAAACAACCCTGTAAGGAAGGTCCTGGTATTATCCCCACCTTGTATCTGAGCAAACTGTGGTACAGACAAAGTGAGCCTAAGTTCACATAGTGCTATGGACTGAATGTTTGTGACTCCCTAAAATTCAAATGTTGAAACCTAACC